CCGCTGTCCATTGTCCGTCCGTCCGTCTGTACACTTTTCACATTTTCAACTTTTTCTCAAGAACCACTGGGCCAATTTTAACCAAACTTGATACAAAGCATCCTTGGATGAAGGGGAGTGTAAAATGTTAAAATGAAGGGCCAAGTTCCCTTCAAAGTGGAGATAATCAAGAAAAGACAAAAATTGGGTGGGGTCATTAAAAATCTTCTCAAGAACCACTGGGCCAGAAAAGCTGAAACTTATGTGGAAGCATCCTAAGGTAGTGTAGATTCTAAATTGTTCAAGTCATGACCCTAGGGGGTAGAGTGGGGCCACAATAGGGAATCCAAGTTTTACATTAAAACATTTATTAAAAAGCTTCTTCTCAAGAACCACTGGGCCAGAAAAGCTGAAACTTATGTGGAAGCATCCTGAGATAGTGTAGATTCTAAATTGTTCAAATCATGATCCCGGGGGTAGGGCGGTGCGACAATAGGGAATCCAAGTTTTACATTGAAATATGTAGTAAAAATCTTTAAAAATCTTCTTCTCAAGAACCACTGGGCCAGAAAAGCTGAAACTTATGTGGAAGCATCCTGGGGTAGTGTAGATTCTAATGCCCTGTTCACACAGAGAGTTTAATTCTAATTAAACATAAGTTACGATGAATTAAATTTGATCCGCGTTCACATGGAGAATTTAATGCGAATTAGTTTAATTTGAATTATTATACTGCGCGTTAAATTACTTCGCATTAGCTAAGTGAAGCTAATTCAAATTAAATTTTAACGCATGCGTAAGGCAGATTTAAGTCACAGGCCACATGTCGATGGTGAAATATGGGTACTTGTGCTATTTTTGAGTGGAAGACAAAGGAAAATTATGTTAATCACTAAATTATGTCAAATGTATGTACCTGCTCTGCACAATATGACATGATTTGTAAATGACGTCATAAAAACCTCACTGAGTAGCCTTGTTGTAGAAATAAAATTATAATTCGCATTAGTTTACTTCACATTAGCTGTCGTGTGAACGCAATTTAATTCACATTAGATTAATTCGCATCATTTTACTTTGCATTAATTTACTGTGAATTAAACTCTCCATGTGAACAGGGCATAAATTGTTCAAATCATGACCCCAGGGGTAGGGCGGGGCCACAATAGGGAATCCAAGTTTTACATAGAAATATGCAGAAAAAAATCTTTAAAAATCTTCTTCTCAAGAACCACTGGGCCAGAAAGGTTGAAAGTTACGTGTAAGCATCCTGGGGTAGTTTAGATTCTAATTGTTCAAATAGAGCGGGGCCACAATAAGTACTACAAGGGGGGGGGGGGATCAGGTGAAAAACGGCAAGGCCAGAGTTACTCAGGTGAGCGTTGTGGCCCATGGGCCTTTTGTTTTTCATTTTACTTTAATGTTTTATTTTACTTAATTATTTGTCATTCAAAATTGGCAAACGTACATTTATTGTTCATGGGGATGAGACCGGATGCAACAAACTTAAGTCCTGTGTCACAGTAGGTGCTGGCACACAAAAAGTCCCTTCACTGCTCAATGGCCTTGAGTGCTGAGTCTACATGTAAGTCTAAATTTTCAGCCCTCCACCAGCAATGGTGGTGTCTCTACATTGTATTTGAGTACAAAATATTCGAGAGGGAGATGTTAACAAAAAACAAACATTTATTGTTCAAAATTATTTCAAGGAAACAGATTAATATAAGTTGCAGCATCAATTTGTTTCTGAATCTTAAGTGTATACAGATTATTGAGTGTATATGTATGTTGACTTATCCAAATGAAATGAAGTTCAAATCAACTCTTGCTAACATAATTATTATTTAGTGAACCCTTTCAGGGGTTGAAATTTTCCTGGAAATCCCACTAGCCCAGGGGCTACTAATTAGTAAAAAAATTACTAGCCCAAACCTCAAACTAACTAGCTCGACAATTTTTCTATGCAAAATGAAAATGTAACAAGTTAAAGTTTCACACATTTTGGTGACAGAAACAAATTAAACTATTTCTCAGTCAAAAGAAACCAGTCTACATAGAAAAGAGAAAGTGAACTGACGAGAAATTTTTTTCCCGTTCTGCTAGTGCGATGGACTATCATTACATTTAAATTAGCTAGCCTGAGTCTTAAAATGACTAGCCTGCTAAAATGACTAGGACTACCATATATTTCAACCCCTGACCCTTTGCACATCAGAGAGTGTTTTCTGTGTAATGCATGAGCTCCCATGTAACACTTCACTATTGCAAACATATGGAAAAAAGACAGCTTGTTTTAAAATAATTTATCTGCATCTCTAGCATGTACTGCCTGATCTTGATTTATCTCAGCTGTACATCTATCAAGGGCAAAGTTATGCACAAATTTGTTTTTTTTCCTGCCTTAGGTCTTTTTGGCATGACCTGTAACTGTTTTGGTCTTTTTTATTACCTCACCTGAGCTGAGGCTAGGTGAGCAATGAGGCCCATGAGCCTCTTGTTGACTTTCTGATGGACTCTGACAAATGTTGAGTGTCAAAATAATGAATTTGTTTACTTTGCAGCAGACCATCCTCATAGAAGAAATCTGCAGCTTGACTAGTAGAGCTGTCCAGATCAGTGGTTACCTCCCTTTCTTCAAGGGAGTTCTGCCATCCCCTCCCTAACCCAGGTGAACTCATCCCCAGTAGTATGCTGCACTGGTAGATTTGCCCCACACACCCCAGGACTGCAGTGCTTGTCAGCAGTGCCTTCATCCAGTAAGTGGCTATGTTTAGAGCAAACTTTATTTTCAGTAACCATTTTATTAATTTGATGTTTGGTTGTGATATTCTCAGCAAATGAGTACACAGTCTGTCTTGCTGGCTGGAATGGTGTTTTGCCCACCTCTGAGTACAAGGGTTATTGTTCATGCCAATACACCGTACAGGGATGTCGTGGGGGAGTCACTTCCCCTAAGGGTGTTGACATCTACCAGCTGGTGACATTCAGCCTCATTAAGGGTTTCTATTGTGAGCATGATTTTATTTGATGTTTTTTGTAGGGACTGCAAGAAAGAAGAGCAGTGTTAGTAGAAGGAAGATTTTTCCTCATCGTACCATTACCTAAAGGGGGTTGCCCAGTGACTAAGTCCAACTTAAAGACCATGGTGTAGAGTGTGTATCTTTCCTACCCAGGGATTTGATCTCTTCATCCTCATAATAATTGTACTGCCTTGATACAAACAAATAATATTCATGCAGAGGAGTCCCATTCTGCTCAGGTAACTGCATCTGTCATTAGATGCCAGGTCCCTCACAAGGAGTCCATCACAGCCAGGTCTCTGCATGATGCTGGTGCAGTGAGACAATTTCATTTCACATCTCAGCTGTTTTTCCAGAATGTAGAAGTATGTGGGAATTTTGTTTAGCAAGCTTAGGTAAAGTCATAATGGTTCATTTGCATAGAACAATCAACGCAGCTAAAAGAGCATAGCAGCAGATATGAGTTACTTACCTTAGACTTACTGACATGACATACAGAACTTCAACATGATGTATAATGCTTTTAATTTTTTTCATAAATTTTAAAATGATATTCAGCTGCATGTATCATTTTGACCTTGCATGTATTAACATGTATTACATGTAATTGTGTATGACATGTATTCCATTCTTAGAGGGTTAATTATGCCCCGCCATGAATATGGCCGGGGCATATAGTGTTTGTCATGTCCGTCTTCCGTCCTTCTGTCCTTCCGTCTGTCCTTCCGTCACACTTTGCGTTTAGCTCTGTTCAAAGCTCAGTTTCAAAGAAACTATCCAAGATATTTTTATCAAACTTCATATGCTGATAGATATTGATGAGGGCTATGCAACTGCATCAACATTTTTTGACCTTGACCTTTCCTTTGACCTTGACCTCACTTTTCTTAAATTAGTGTTTAGCTCAGTTTTAAAGATACCATTCAAGATAGTGTAATCAAACTTCATATGTTGATACATACTGATGTAAGCTATTCAATTGCATCAACATTTTTTTGACCTTGACCTTTCTTTTGACCTTGACCTTACTTTTCTTAAATTAATGTTTAGCTCTGTTTTAATGAAACCATTCATGATACTTTTAACAAACTTCATATGCTGATACATACTGATGAGAGCTATTCAACTGCATCAATATTTTTTACCTTGACCATTCCTTTGACCTTGACCTCACTTTTCTTAAATAAGTTTTTAGCTCAATTTTAAAGATACCATTCAAGATAGTGTTATCAAACTTCATATGCTGATACATACTGATGAGAGCTATTCAACTGCATCAACATTTTTTGACCTTGACCTTTCCTTTGACCTTGACCTCACTTTTCTTAAATTAGTGTCAAACTTAATATGCTGATACATACTGATGAGAGCTATTCAACTGCATCAATATTTTTTGACCTTGACCTTTCCTTTGACCTTGACCTCACTTTTCTTAAATTAGTGTTTAGCTCAGTTTTAAAGAAACCATCCCTAATATTTTCATCAAACTTCATATGCTAATACATACTGATGTAACCTTTTCAACTACATCAACATTTTTTGATCTTGACCTTTCCGTTGATCTTGACCTCACTTTTCTTAAATTAGTTTCTGAATCAAACGTCATATGCTGATACATACTGATGTAAGCTATTCAACTGCAGCAATATTTTTTGACCTTGACCTTTCCTTTGACCTTGACCTCACTTTTCTCAATTTGTGTTAAAATGTTGCATTACTAATATACCCTTGGCGGGGCATTCATGTCCTATGGACATATTTCAAGTTTTTTATATAATCTGATAAATAAATAGTTAAAGGTCTTATGCAAGGAAATAGCCAATCAAAATGAATTTAGTCAATTGTAGTTCTATATATATAGAGACAATTTCTTTTTATTTTTTCATTTTCGGCAACCTTTTTTAGGTCTACAGTTTTAATTTTGGACTCATGTACTAGGAACATCATATCTTTAGCAGAATTCTGCCACTGAATTAAAGTGAACTCTTTTTTTAGATGCGCATGATGCATCTTCCTGGATGGTGTGTAGGCTGTTTGTCAACTTCCTGGATGGTGTGTAGGCTATTTGTCAACATTTGAAACCCACGTGTATTTCAGGGTAGGTATGTATACACTCAATTTTCTTTCTTAAAAGCCGCATAAGACGTGTTTTTTCTGATCTCAAAGTTTTGTCTCAGCATTAATCTTTATTTCCTCTTTCATGAATTATCTGCTGAGAGTCTAATTAATTAATTGATTTAATTAAAGCTACATAGTAACATACAGTAAAATTATTTCCATGTGTGAGACTTAAAGAGGAACGAGTAACTCTCATTTTGACTACAATTTCTTTGATTTCAGGAGTAGTCTCCCCTTTTAAAGATCAAAAATGGCGGATATACAATGCGGCATGTAGTCTGGTCATCAACGGAAAGTTTCGACACCCGTATACCCGTATTTCTACCAATCACCTCTGTAACCTTTGTTGTGTTCATTAGACAGGTAAGAAAAACAAGATTATTAATTAAAATAATTCTAATGAGATAAATGATTAAGAATAAAACATATTTACATGCACAGACTCCCTCGTATAAGAAAATGTCACATTTTACACATACAATTGTACATCATTTACATATCCACATTTTCCCCATTTACACAGTTGAATAGATTCAGTGCATAATAATACATAGCAACAATTATTACATGTAAGACAATTCACAAAATATTTATTAAATACAAATTTCATACATCTAAATTAAATACACAGCATCAATGCCCCCCCCCCCCCCCCCCCCTTTACAGTCTTACAACTTCCTTTTTAATTTTGGATCTGTTAGTGATTTACAGTAAGTGTCTTCAGATTTTTTATCGTACAGCTGATATCTTTTAGATCTAAAGTATTTTCACTGAGATTTATATTTTAACTTTTTTTGTTTAATTTTAAAGTAATTTTTCCTATTTTGTTGTTGTTTTAGGTGATGGACCACTCTACTTCCTTTTATAACAGGTGCCCCTACAGATTCACAAAGTTCCAATGTTGAGTTTCCATGACCGCTATTCAGTGAGTGCACAACTTTATGTATTCTACTTTCAAATTTCTACTACTTGTAATACATTTTGGATTTGATTTTAAATATGCCCTATTCACAGATTCAGATTTTTGTGTACAAGTATGATATTTAATTCTATCAAGATTACTTCGTCCTAAAGTCAAATTTATACAGTCTTTTAACAAACATATGTCATCTTCTGTCATGTTTAATTCAAAGTCACTAGGCAACACTGAAGATTTCTACTTATTGCTTTTCAGTCCGTGACAGGTGACAAGACTTTCCGCACTGTCCTTGGTAGCAGCTTATGATGGAACCAACAGCAGTGGATATTGCCCGCTTCATCAGAGGTAAGTCTCCGGAGTAGTGTTTGCAGCAATTCTCGTACTCTGTCCTGCATTGAAGCTTCAGGTCCAAGGCAAATCTTCTCTGCATGGATTCTCTTATAGCTTTGGTTCTTCCCAGAAACGTGTGACTGCTGAATGGAGCCTTAACAGTCTGTTTTCTTTGAGAGTCAAAGAAGTGACGCAAGTCTTTAAGGTTTTCAATCACATGTCCTTGTTTTACAGATGCTCCAGATGCAGCGGCACTATCTCCATCACTGGTGAAATGGGAAATGACGAGTGGACGGTCATCACTTTGTAACTCCCCGATACAGTTTGCGGCCCATCTCTTCTCAACTCCAATGGTGGTCTCCGGAGGAACGGTTGCAGTGCAGTCTTCGTGTCCTGGGCAGGTAACTTCCTTTCCTTTGCTTCGTAGGTGTGTGCCCTTCTTGCATAGTTTGTTGCCACAGAACACTGCCACAACATTTTTCCTCTTGAGTTACATTTTCACTTACGGACTTACGGTATATGGCAGCTTGGAATGGGGTTTTTCCAATGGCACTGAAGGTGGCATTATTATACCTGGCATCTCCTTCCACTCTGATAGCGGTATCAGGAAGTCCACATTTTTTATTAAGTTCTTGAATGTTCTGCCTTATTTTCTTCATACTGTTTTTATTTACTTTGGTGATAATTTTCCCCACTTTGTTGCAGGTCTGTTGCATGTTGGCGGCTGATGCTGGTTCAATATTTGCACCAAGAAGCATACCACGCATACCCTCTGTTGTAAGACTGGTACCCAGGTGACCGACAGCCATGGTCACATTTAGCTGTGCAACTCTATGTCCCCTTCCAGATCTCCTCATCTCTTCGTAAAGCTTTCCTCGGTGACTGGTATAGTGGCACTTCTTACATCGGATGGAAAGGATCCATGCCAGGCCTCGTTTTTCCTCCCCATGCTGGTTCCAGTCCAGTGAACCGTCACAGTCTGGAAACTTATCTGAGTGTTCTTTAAATGCCTGATTCCGCAATTTAGCAATCTTTTCTTGGTGAAGGACTTTATATAGTTTTGAGTTTGGGTCATCTGACACAGCTTCCATGTAGGAGTCTACAGGCTGAACTTCACTTGGCCCGGGTCGCAAAATCTTCATCTCACTGCTTCGGCTCTTGGCATCTTTATCTGCAAACATTCCATTTTTCTGTGGCCATACAATGTCCCGAAACTCTTCTTTACTTAGTCTTCTCATTGGAATTAGAAATTGGACTGGGCTGGTGGTCCCTATATTCTTCTAGCCTTTATTGTGAGGATTACTTCCTTTTTTGTATTGATGTTGATGCAACCATTTTGGTCCCTTTTTTTTTGGCATGATTATTATTTAATCATACACTTGTAGACTTTTTCTAATAATATGCTATTGTATGTGGTGCACATTTTTAAGTATTGTAAACTTTTGTGTTGTTTATTTATTTTAGAGCTGCCTGGTCTACTAAAAGAAACTCCATTCTTTGATGACTGATGGAAAAGCCTCATCACCCCCCCACCCCCCCACTGCTAAAGAACCCCTTATCTTAATCACTAGCCATTAATCAGTGACCACTGTTATCAAAGCTCCAAGGTACATTATTGAAGTCTCTTTTGACACCATTTTTTCCAGTCTCTGACTTTGTTTTAGAATTAAGATTTTCAATTTTTTGCTAATTAATTCCGTATAAATCAGTAAACTTCCTGTTTCTTAACTAATTAGAGCTTATTAATTAGAGTTCAATAAACTTTTAAGCAGATAGCCAAAAACCCCAACATTTCAACTTGCATTTCATTCTAATTTTTTTTCTCAATAATTAACTCATAAAATTTTTTTAAGTTTTGAAATTAATAAACTGTAGATGAATTTGTATAGAAATTTAGCCTAAAATTCAATAATCTGTTAGGAAGAGTTATCTCCTATTTTTCATCCCTTAAGGACAAAGATAAATTTTGATACACTAGTATATGAAAGATAAATAACTAAAAGACATTTTCTGCAAATTTTATTTAATTTCATTAACTTTTAGTTGTCTTAAAGGTCTTACGCAAGGAAATAGCCAATCAAAATGAACTTATTCAATTGTAGTTCTATATATATATATATATAGAGAGAGAGACAATTTCTTTTTCTTTTTTTGTTTTCAGCAAATTTTTTTTAGGTCTACAGTTTTAATTTTGGACTCATGTACTAGGAACATCATATCTTTAGCAGAATACTGCCACTGAATTAAAGGGAACTCTTTTTTTAGATGTGCATGATGCAACTTCCTGGATGGTGTGTAGGCTGTTTGTCAACTTCCTGGATGGTGTGTAGGCTGTTTGTCAACTTCCTGGATGGTGTGTAGACTGTTTGTCAACTTCCTGGATGGTGTGTAGACTGTTTGTCAACTTCCTGGATGCTGTTTGTCAACATGTGAAACCCACGTGTATTTCAGGGTAGGTATGTTTACTGTCAATTTTCTTTGTTTAAAGCCGCGTAAGGCGTATTTTTTCTGATCTCAAATTTTTGTCTCAGCATTAATCTCTATTTTCTCTTTCATGAATTATCTGCTGAGAGTCTAATTAATTAATTAATTTAATTAAAGCTACATAGTAACATATAGTGAAATTATTTCCTTGTGTGAGACCTTAATTTGTACATATAAGAATACTTGAGAAATTTTGCTTTGTTATCATTGCTTTATGCAAAATTTGACAGACTGATTTGATTCATTTTCATTTAATCACTGTGGAAAACTTTTATCTTTCAGCTTCCTTGGCCAAAGGAGATGATGGCACCTTGGCCTTATGAGCATTTTTTCTCTTTCCATAATTGATGGAATCTCTGAATCCATCTGATGCATTTCCTCAGACAGTCTGCTCTATTGTGCAGGTAAAATTCCCTCCTCTTTACTTTCACTCCCTAATTGTGTGGCACATTTTGGTGTTTGAAATTGACCCTTTTTAGCTCACCTGAGCTGAAGGCTCAAGTGAGCTTTTCTGATCAAAGAGTGTCCAGCGTCCCTCTTTCGTCTTGCCACAAAGCATCCTTGTGTAAAGGATATTTAAGTTTGTTCACAGGAAGTGCAACACCCTCTTTCAAGGGGAGATAATTAAGAATTCGTGAAAATTTGGTGGCATCATTTAAAGATCTTCTTCTCAAGAACCACTGGGCAGGAAAAAATGAAACTTATATGAAAGCTTTATTACATACTCTAGATTCAATTTTGCTCATATCTTGACCCCCGGGGGTAGGGCTGGGCCGCAAGATTGGGTCGAAGTTTTACATAGGAATATATAGGAAAAATCTGAAAAAATCTTCTGAAAAACAGCAAATGATTAGCCATGATTAGTCATATTATAATAGAAGTATCCTAAGGTAGTTTAGATTCAAGTTTGTTCCAATCATGACCCCTGGGGGTAGGGCAGGGCCACAGCAGGGGGTCAAAGTTTACCATAGGAATATGTAGGAAATATCTTTAAAAATCTTCTTCTGAAGAACAGCTAAGCCATCATTAGTCATATTAAAACAGAAGTAGGTAGTGTAGTCAAAGTTTACCATAGGAATATGTAGGAAATATCTTTAAAAATCTTCTTCTGAAGAACAGCTAAGCCATCATTAGTCATATTAAAACAGAAGTAGGTAGTGTAGAATCAAGTTTGTTCAAATCATGACCCCCAGGGGTATGACGAAGTCACAACAGTCAAAGTTTTACATAGGAATATACAGGTGTAATGGTTAAGAGGCATTTGAGTAAAACACATTGAAGACCTCAAATAATGGAATTACCTGACAACCCTTGGAATGGATTAGCCAAACCAAAAGGTATATAAGCCAAAGCTTTGGGAAAGTCAGGCATTCAGAAGCTAGCTGAAGAAGTTGGATGCGGAATCAGCAATAAAGAAGTTAAGGTATTCCATCCCTAATAGCAACAGATTCAATGAAATTGAATGCATAACAGATGTGTAGGTGTTGAATACTCAGTATATTTAGACATCATTCCCATTTATTACTATTAGCGTGTAATATTGTGGGATGTGTCTTCATTTATGACCTTGAATTTTGGTAAGGGTTATCTCACTCTGTTTTTAATTAATAAAAAATAAATTATACAAAAAGAAACTTATCTGGTTAAAAAAAAAAATCATTCTATTTCTTATGTTTTAATGCATCTTTCCATGACAGTATTTATTGATGTTATTATTATTTGAATTTTTATTTTTAAAAAATCGCTTGTCCCCATAGACTTCAATGCTATCTTTGTTAATTAATTACTGCTTAGTTAGTTACATTTTTGAAACTTTCTCTTGGTAAATCCTTTTCTAATGTGAAATGCATTTACATAGGAAATATCTTTAAAATCAACTAAGCCATTATTAGTCATATTTATACAGAAGCAACCTTAGGTATTATAGAATCAAGTTTGTTCAAACCATGAGGGCACAACAGTGGGTCAATTAAATTTTGCATAAGAAAAAAATACAGGATTCATTTTCAAAAAATCTTCTGCTCAAGAACAAGCCATTAGTCATTATATTATAGAAGCATCCTCAGGTAGTGTAGATTCAAATTAAGGGTGGGTAGGGTGGGGCCACAATGAGAGATCAGAGTTTTACATAGGAAAACATAGGATTGATTGATTGTATGTTGTTTTAAGTCCCGTTTGAGAATTTTTCACTCATATAGAGACTCCACCATATTCCGGTGAAAGGCTTCAAATTTAATTCTTTACTCGGCACTGAGGGCCATTGAGCAGTGAGGGATCTTTATTGTGCCTACGCCTGCCTTGGTTATTAAGTCTCATTCGAAGGAGCCATAACTTTCACTTCA